ATTGTTGTTCTTCACTTGCAACTTTTGTTGGATTCTCATGAAATGTATGAACTTCTGAATCAGTTAAATTATGTACATTCTCTACTACCACAAAGCACAGAATTAAGAGCAAAATATGGAATTGAACCAAGGGAGTTAAACATGCATATTATGCCAACTTTAAAATGTTTTAGTGTTAGAAAATAGAAGAATACAATCTCAGTGGCATAAGATTAATAATTTAAGATTTTGAATATACCTTATGAGATGAATAAACAGTATATCTAAAATGGATAGTTTTGGGTGATGGAACAATGTATATTTGGATACAGATTTTATCTAGTGTTGTTTGCACCTGGATCATACACCATGACAAATATCAAGACGACTACAGATATGTGCTGTGCTATAGAACTACCTGAGAAATTAACAAAATAATAAAAAACATGAAATATCTTGAAGTGAATTTATAACTGAAGCAAAATTTTAGCTAGGTTCTGGCATGTCCCTGATATTTCTGTTGTTAAACAGTGGATATTTAAAAGATGGACTACTTTGGTGAATTCCAGGATTAACTCTGGGATTCTGTGAAAATCTTTTAAAGTTAATTGCAGAATATAAGCATTCTAAATACATAAAAATAACTAGAGTTAAGTTATGTTTTGAAATCAGTAAACTGGATAAATGCACCTTTTATTAAAAAAGGAACTTTCACATTCTTTAAAAACTCTACTAAAGCACACAGTGTTAAGACATTGAAGTCATTTTGGAGTAAGGGAGATTGTCCAAACATGAGCTCTTCAAATAAACCAGGAGAGAAATATAGGAAATCCCTTAAAAGTGGTCTGCAATGTTTGAATAACCTATACAATGCATTGGAGAAGAGTTGTTTTTTCATAGGTCATTGACCAATGAAATTACTGCATGATTACAAAAGTCTTGAAGCGTTGTAAAACAAAATTATCCTATGGTTCTGTAGTGAAAACGGCATATTTTTGTTGGAAAAAACATATGACCTGTAGAATGAAACTAATGTATACTAACTTTTAAAAAATGTGACAGATGCTTCAGTTCTCAAATGGAAGCAAAAGCAGTACATCAAATGTTAGCTCTATTTTGGGATAATCAACACAATCCAAGCAGTGTCTTAGCAGTGTATAAAATATACTTTGCCCAAAAGTGGGCCAATGAAAAACTGCAAAATTGGTAAAGTGAAGTCTCAATGGTTTGGATAGTTACTGGCATTATGTGGGTAAGTTTTCAGATTCTGGATACTTTTTTCACCAACTGGCAATTTTTCATCAATGTCTACAATCAGTTCAAGCATTTGCTGCACTAAACATTAACCGGCAGTTGGTATTTGCTCCCCCATCTTCCTGATCATTGTCCTTTTCATGTTGGGCTTGAAAGATCAGAGAACAGCTCATGCTAGGAGAAACAAAACTTTAGAAAAGCTCTTTGGATAAATGTCTTTTGGGACTTCTTTTCTCCCCAATTTTAAAGATCTCGTTCAATACATAGTCAATATTTAACACCAATATTGGGTGGCATATGCCAATCGATTGCATTAATATGTCACTGAAGTTACTAAGTTTCTTTGCCACACTTGGGAAGGTCAGATATCATCTAAAAAAAGGGAAGGCTGGAATTAAAATAACATTTAAAAACAAGACTTAAACAAGTTTGCTGGGAGTCATTTTGAGGATGACAACATAAGAAAATTTGCAGCAATATATTGAGAAAAATTGTGTGCCCAGAATTTCCATCAATGCTTTCAATTCACATTTTATTCTATGGAATCAATATTTTTAAAACTTTTTGTATTTGGAACTGTTGTGTTGTGGATGATTGGTTATGGCAGTAGCTCCCAACCTATGGGCCCCCAGGTGTTTTGGCCTACAACTCAAAGAAATCCCAGCCAGTTTACCAGTTGTTATGATTTCTGGGAGTTGAAGACCAAAGTATCTGGGGACCCACAGGTTGAGAACCACTGGGTTATGGTATATAAAGATATGGAAACAAGTTACCTTTTATGTAACTTGTACTTTTTATGTGTAATTATTTGGGAAGATAAGAATTGGTATGAATTTACGAACAGAATGTTGCTGTGTGTTTCCATTCCATAAAAGGGCTGCTTTTGTTCACGGCTTCGGTGGAGAGCATTTCAGAGGAAAGGGGTCCTTAATGTAGGGTTTCCTTGTTTTGTACTGCATATACATTATTATTTGAGACTAGCTAGAAGCACCGAATCTGAGCATTTTATTGCTATCTAATACCAGATAGAGATGATTTTTAACAACGGGAAGAGGAAAGATTGTCCCCTTCTTCTTGCCTTCCTCCTGAAATAGATCTGTAGAGTGCAAGGAAGAGCTTTATAAAGCTCAAAATATGTATCTTAGCAGTATATTTTTCTACCCACTTTGCTTCTTGAGAGATCACATCAGCTTGCCATTAAATCCTCCCACCAACAGCATTGTTATTTGAAAGGTATGTATGTTGTGCCTTTTTAAATAAGGTAACAAGAAGTTGAACAATTCACACTTTTCAGTTTAGAATTTTTTCAAATATCACATTTGAAAGATTTACTCAGTCATGAAAATAAATGGTAGAGAGCAGATATGATAGATAGATGCTAATTTGGTCAAAAAGAAGTTTTTTTTGTCTAATTGGTGTTTATATATAATCCTCTATGTATCTCTGTGTGAGGAAAACAAAAAAAATCCGGTTTAATTCCCAACTACAGTAAAGCGATTAAATCTATGAGATTTAGTTATGTCCTACATTACCACTTAACTAACAAGATACTGGCTACTTCCGAGTAAAATAGTTTGTAGAAAATTGGTTAATATAGCTTAAATTGTGTGGATTTAGAGTTTCAAATTATTTCAGTGCCAATTTACTAGACTATATTATTTCTATAAATTCTGCCCTTTATTTTGATAGAAGGCTTTCTTCATTCAATACAGAAATTGTTTTTGGCATATGGAGGAGGGGATGGTTCATGGATCTCCTGTGGATACTAAAATGAATGGGTGATAAAGTCACATTATATACAGTGGTATAGTGAAATCTGTGAAGTGAAGGGATGCTACAGCAAGGTATACCTACATATCAGAGTAGTGCTTGGCATGTGACAAAATCAAATTTGTTTTGGGGATTTTTTTCAACATATATTTTGTTGGTTGAATCCATGAATGCAAAACCTGTGAGAGAGATTAGCTATCAGATTTCTTTGTAGTAGATTATTTGACATACAGGTTCGAATCCAGGGAGAGCGCGGATGAGCTCCCTCTAACAGCTCCAGCTCCTCATCTGGGGACATCAGAGAAGCCTCCCACAAGGATGGTAAAAACATCAAAACATCTGGACGTCCCCTGGGTAACGTCCTTGCAGACAGCCAATTCTCTCACACCAGAAGCGACAGCAATTTCTCAAGTTGCTCCTGACACGACCAAAAAAAAAAAAAGGAGGCCCATGGCCCCTCTTTTGTCTTGCTTTATCTTTACAACAGCCCAGCAAGTTTGGTCAGGTTGAGAAAAACCAAGGTCACTCGATAACCTTGCATCTTCCAAGTCAGTCCAGTATTCTATTCTGAAATCTGCTTCCAGGATCCTGTATTCTTTGAGGAATAAGCAGGTGCCAGATGGGGTGATGGACAGTGTTTTGTGATGGTGCAAAAGACTGCCCCACTCCCTGTAGCGAGCCTTAAGAGTCTTGTGATCTCAAGTGTGATGGAGCATTTGTCCTGTTGTCAGGATTGTGATAAGATTAATCTGCCACCCCAGTTGACTTCTATATGAGTAAATAATTTAGTGTTTCTCTGTTGGGTGGAATGCAACTTTTTCACTTTATACAGCAATATTTTGGACTGGTCTTACTTACATACAGCATAATTTTTCATGAAATGGATTAATGGGTTTGGCATCACAGATTAAAAGTCCTTCCAGTTGTAGAAGGCAACCCTGCAGCTGACATAAGTCATATTTTATTAACACTGATTAATATGAACTATGAAAGAGTTGTGCAAAGCCAAATTCAAATCTTACTTTTAAGTATTTTATCAGTTTATATTTATTAACTTTAGGGGAATAGAAAATAAGGGATAGTATTTTTGAATTTGTGGAAAGAGATATCTGTTAGGTTCTACTAGGTTTCATAGGATATGGTTAATTGTAATATATATTAGACATTCAACTTTTACATGGAAAATGGTATGCCTACTTTGTTCTCCCTCTGCTACGATCATGAAAGAGTACAAATAATGCGACTGTTCTCACTCCATATGTATGTATGTGTATGAGATGCTTTTTGAATGCTTCACTAAACATCACACAATATACTTGTATCGCTTAAACTGTATATATACAGAATTTAACAAGTACAACACAAAATTACTTTCAATCTAACATATTCTCAAAATTACTTTTAAGTTAAATGAACAAAAAGTCAAACTCAATTATTATCACTATTTTTAACAACGATGTTTTGTTTGATGCAAACGCAGTGCTATTCTTTGAAACTATTTTGGATAAAATGAGGCTAACAAATCACACTAATTTCAACAAAGGATTAAACTCTAGGTTAGATCTGTCCTTTGAAATCTAATAGAAAACTTTTTAAAGATCTTAACTCCACATAGTTGATTTCCACGCCCAACTGTTCAGAGATCAAGAACAACCCCTGTATTAAATGTAAAAGGAGGAAATTACCAGTTGTCTACTTAGAGCAAAAGTGTAAAAGGACAAAATGCTGAATGGCAGTTGGTCAGCAAGTCACTCCGGACATGAAAAGAAAGCTTGAGTTGAATCTCAACTCAGTAACAATGGTGATATTTCTTGCTTTCATTCAATAAATACTTTAAATTCACTTGAATATACAATACTTTTGAATTTCTATTTATGTTTTGAATTCTAGGCTATTCTTTTAGAAAAAAACGTATCTAATGCTTTTCTCTGAAAGACGAGAGGACAATGCTGTTGAATGCATCTTATCATTAGTTTAATTTTATTTTGGTTTTTCAGGTACTCCAGGAGCCACACCTAATCCTGTGATTGGACTTCAGACGGCTTCCACGGGCCTTTTAGGTGCACGGCCTGGTTTGATCCCACTCCAGCGACCCCCAGGAATGCCACCCCCTCACCTGCAGCGGTTTCCAATGATGCCACCACGTCATATGCCTCCCCACATGATGCACAGAGGCCCACCTCCAGGTCCAGGAGGCTTTGGGATGCCCCCACCTCATGGGATGAAAGGCCCTTTCCCACCACCTGGCCATTTTGCAAGGCCTGGTGGACCTGATGATAATAATAGAGATGGAAGGCAGTTCAGGAATGATAGGCAGCCATTTACTCCAAATAGAGACCAGGAAAGATTTGGAAGGCGGCCTTTTGGGAATCGGATAGAAAATGAGCGCGAACGTTTCGGTAACCGCAATGATGACAGAGAACATGAGCGCCTCGGTAACCGTGAAAGGAGAGATTGGGGAAGAAGAAGCCCTGAACGTGAGAGACACAGAGACGTGGAGGAAAGAAATAGACGTTTCAGCGGACAGAGAGATTCTAGGGATAGGGAATCTCGCAGAGACAAGGACGAAAATCGAGGGAAAGAGAAACCTGAGTTGACAGACAGCGTAGATGGTGTCAAAAACCATGAATCCCAGAGTAGTAAAGTGGAAAATGCAGACACTGCTTCAGAACTGAATAAAGCAGGGTCTGAACCCACAGGGGCAAAACCTGCAGAAGAGTTAACATCTGAGTCTACCTCATCTCTTGAAAAACCTGAAAAGTCTACTGGCTCAGTTGTAGAGGGTTCTCGTTAGAGACTGGATTTTTTTTCCCAAGCAAAGTGACATTGCAGTGTAGATCTTTAGAGTTGTACAGTATGCTGTATATTTGCTTTTGCTATATCTCAACTCCTCCATAGTTTATGGGGATATGTAAGCAATTTGATTGCTTCCCTTCAATTTAAAGTGGTTACAAAATAACAAAAAGAAATGAATAAACCATTGGCCATTTTTTGCTGTAACTTTTTTAAAGTTTTGACTTTAAAAAGTTTACAATTCAGAATTAGAAGTGCTTTCTATTTTTTTTTTAATTTAAGTGAAGGTAACGGTAAAAGCTCCTAAAACAAATAGGGATGTTTTTAATAAACTCTATTTTCATAACAAACTTTAATGTGTGCTATTCTTCCTGCACTGAAATGGTAAAGGATTGTTCATCTTAAAATTTGAACTGTTAATACAGTGAAGTCTAAATTAGACTTTGTTTAAACATGTTTGTGTAACGGTTCACAGAAACAATGTGGTAGTTATGTTAATTTTAAAATTTATGATTTTTAATTTACATGAATAGATGGAGAAAATAGCTTTTAAAGTGTTAAGAGAAAATCTAGTGTTTGCAGTGAAAAGTTGATTTCCTGCTTGTTTTTATTGGCCATCCAAAATAGATGCTATAGTAAATTGTTGCCCTGAAACAATTTCCCTAATAATTCTTGGAAAATGTTCTTGGAAAGCACATCAGCATACTTTTGTGATAATAAACCACTGATTATGGAAGATGCTAATAAAATGCAAAATTGACACATATTCTAATATATTTTAGAGAACTGTTCGAAAGAAAATATTTTAAATTTTCAAATGTTGTCTTATGCTTTGCAATAATCACATTATTTTTATATAACCTGGTGCATCTGTCCAATTGCTTATAGAAAACTAAAGAATCCGATGTTGCTCAATTAAATATTCTAGTGCCATTTCAAAATGCAGGACAATTTAAGTCCATATGGCCTGCCCACACCTCCAGTCTTGGTTTTCTGTTTCTGTTGATATGCCCAGTACTTCAGTAGCTGTTTCCAATGAGGTGAAGAGCTACTCATTTTCTTAAGGTTATACTACAGGAAGTCTTTTCTTTGGGTCATAGCAAAACAATAATAAAAAAATGAAATTGTGAAATCATTTTCACATTAAGCTTAATTTCCATGCCATTCATTAGAAGATCAGTCAAAACGGGAATTGAAGTAACAGTACTTAAGCCTATGAAGGTAATGGGTACTATTTAAAAATCTTGTCGCTAATTAACTCAGCATTACCTATGGCTCATCACTTAAAAACAATTCAAAGGTTAAAAGCATATGGAAGTCTATCAAAAACTTTATGTAAAACTTACTCATGCTGCTCTAATTTTAGATGTGAGGTAATACTATAGAGCAAGCAAGAGCTTATTTTTTGTCAGTTATAACCACTTTTTGATGGACTTTATTGCAGGCATTTTTAAATTAGGTATATCTACTGTATGCAAAGGAAAGACTAAACATGCAGATGGCCTTGGGTAACATTAATTTCTGTCTCAGCAAGGGGCTTGAAAACTGCTCAAGCATGGGCTAGAATTGCCAAACATTTCCAATATGCCTATATACAAATATACATATATTTCAGTACTAAAAATAGTGAAAACAATTTTAAAGTGGCAATATTAAACAGGGTGCTAGGCATATGACATTTGCCCACTATTGAATATAAATTTTAAGCATGATCTTCCAAAAAACTCCTTGCACCATCTTATTGCCTACATCACCTATGGCTATCAGGGCTGGACAAGTGAATCTTTACTAAGGTTAATAAATTAAATTGTATTGTTATTGACATGAACTGTTGAGTATGCATAGTAGTCCTTTGCCGATATGCAGCTGAGTAACTGTATAAACAAGTTCAAAACATGAATTTTAAAAACACAGCATGTTGTGTTTTATTATTTTCTGCAGGACAGAGACAAGGCTTGGGTCCAGCTTGTAAAAACAATGCCATATATCTGAACTTTCTTAAATTGCTCACTCTTCCTATGAAAATGAAGATAGGCTGATTTCAAACACTCCTTTTAAAGGAACCCTGGTTTCGGGCAGAGAGGACTATGCAACATTAGATTATGGTCCAAAACAGGAGATATCTTAGACTTCCATTTGAAGTGTTCAGAGCAAAGGTGCACTCAACACTTCCCTTGAATTCTCACAACTTCCAGGCATCTATTTATATATGGTTAGGGAATGAGTGAAGCCAAAGAAATTCTGGTCTGAGTGGTGGAGTTCATTTTCACAGTATCTGCAACAATGGAAACCAGATGGCTTCTCCCTTCACATGGGAAACTGGTAGAATTTACTAGATTTGCCATGGTTTAAGAGACTTCAGGAATAGGAATGTGTCAAGCCAGCTTGAAATTGCCAACATTAGGACAGATTCTGCTGACCCAATGGCAAGGTAAACGAATATAATCCACCATTTTAGACAGAATGAACTGGTGCCCAGTGTCTATGTAAAAGCAATCACTTCTGAAATTGCGTTTCATAATGCCTTTAATTACAGGTGTACAAAATAAGACTTGTCAGCTTACATTCAGTTTAACAGAGCCATAACATTAGCTGGTTGCTTTATACCCTAAACAAAGCCAAATAATTGGAAAAAATTCCACAAATACATGTGACATGTTGCTTTTTAGTGTTCAGCGCTCTTCTTGGCGCATCTAGGCCTTAGCCAGTCCAATCACACCACAAGCTAGGCGAGCACCAGCATTTCCAGTTTTCAAGCTCTCATCATTTCCTCCTCTGCCCAGATCATCCGGTTTTGCATGAACCTAAAAGGAGCACAGCAACAGAATCAGACCAAGATTTGTAGGTTAGTAAAACTCATATCTTACTGTTAATGGTGACAATTGAGATACTTCCCAATGAACTAAAGAACAACCCCAATTCTGAAATTTTTAAATAGAATTCATGTTTTAAGAAAAAGAACCCTATGTCCAACCATTACTCCTCTCCTCTGGTAACTGAGTATTCCTTTCTTATAGTAATTTAATAATAATAATAATACATGTTATACCAGATGCCGGCAACAAACAAAAGGCAGCTATTATGTGAACCTTCCTTGTTTCAAGGAAACAGTTCAACCCCATAATGCAAATAGGTCACAAAAACATGTTAGTCTGCAGTCAATAAAGAGATAAATAATCAGGAAAAGATTGTTTCTGCTCAATGTTGTAACTGTCTGTGCATTACCAGTGTTACTGCTAGTCATGTCAACCTGCGCTCCCCAACATCTATCCAGTTCTACCTAGCTTCCCCACTAAGACTCTGACAAATACAACTTCAGAATTTCCACTTTCCAAAGGATCAGTATAAATCGTGTACAGAAATATTTTAGGCTGCAGGATTTGTCAACATAAACCTCTTTTAGGTCAAAAAAATTAGGGCCTAACATTTAGAACTATGCTCAGATTAATTTGGTTTTAAGACTTGAAGCACATCAATATTTGTACACCTCAATATTTGCAACAAGTTGCCAATGAAATGTAATATAAGGAGAGATCTGCGCTTCAAGATGGTTTAGCTCAATGGTTCTCAACTTGTGGGTCCCCAGATGTTTTGGCCTTCAACTCCCAGAAATCCTAACAGCTGTAAACTGGCTGGGATTTCTGGGAGTTGTAGGCCAAAACACTGGGGACCCACAGGTTGAGAACCACTGGTTTAGCTCATTGCTTGTCCAAGTCATGCTTAACCCATGAACCAGCTATGCAAAGAGGTATCTCTAACAAGACAGAATAGCTTTAGGTCTCATTACTCAAGTGATTTCAATCCTTGAGAGATGCAGTCAACAGTCCCCTCAGAGAGATCAATCAAATGATACTTCCCAAGGTTTTCAAGAAACTTACCACCAGAGTACGTCCAATAACTGAATGTGGCCCCGAGAGAGAAATAATACAGTCTATTATGTCCACGTCTGCCATACCCGCACCATTTGCCTCCACATTTCCAAGATCACCAACATGCCTGAAATATAGTATTATGGTTGTTTTAAATGGAAAATTTCTTCCATTCATACTCACTTATGGAAGTGCTTCCACTCCATCCCTATTCTCACAAATGCAAAGTGGATGAAAACCGACACTGTGCCCAAGTGTCAGTTTTGCTCAACTTGTAGACAAGTTTCATTGGCCAGTGTTAGCTTTGGCTCTCGCTATTCAATCCATGTCCTTGTTTCTTTAATATTTGTCGAACCTAATACAAAAATAATCTTCCAATGGTGCAATAACCAGTTGACATTAAACTCACATAAAATTAGTGTTACTTGACAGGGATAAACCGTTCTTTTAAAAATTGATTTGTAACACTGAAGCAATTACTGGTAATTTTATGTCTTCCTATTTTGGTTATTGCTTTGCTGAACTTCTTTCATGGTCTATTTACTGGGATTCTCTACCAATGCAACTTTAATAGTATCAGCATTAAGAGCAACACAGAAATATTTATAGTTGTACAGATTTCCAGGATGTTTTGAAGAGCTTCCTCTGGAGTTCTATTTGTAATTTAGAGCTGCCATCAGAAAATGGATACTTTCATTGTAAATCAATTATACACATGTACTGATACCTCTAACTGTATGGCTGTATTTTGCTTGTTCTAGTAGACTGTATTAATACTTTATTTTATGCAATGTTGAATAAACTATATGCAGAACAAATCTCATGTCTTCAAATTAGTGTTCGCATAAAATGCCTTTGTCTGGTAATATTCCAAATATGGGACAAGATTCCTATCTTAAATGTTTCATACATTAGCCAAATGTTACAAATACTTTTAATCTTTACTTAAAGCACATCAGGAAGACCTAATTAGGTGGTAGTGCAACATTAGCTAATGTTTGTTTTTTAGGGCTAACCCTAAAGATTTTTACAAAACATGTGATGTTCCCTAATCATAAAATTATTTTAGTTGGTACTTCATAACTGTAATTTTGCTACCATTATGAATCATAATGTAAGTAACTGGTATACAGGATGTATTTTCATTCACTGGACCAAATTTTGCACAAATATCGGATACACCCCAATCTAAATAGCTGGAGTTTGGGGGGGGGGGGTTGATTTTGTCATTTGGGAGTTGTAGCTGCTGCGAGTTATAGTTAACCTGCAACCAAAGAGCATGCTGAACTTCACCAACGATGGAATTGAACCAAACTTGCTACACAGAACTTCCATGATCAACAGAAAATGCTAGAAGGGTTTGGCGGGCATTGACTTTGAGTTTGGGAGTTGTAGTTCACCTACATCCAGAGAGCACTGTGGATTCAAACAATGATGGATCTGTACCAAACTTGGCACGAATACTCAATATGCCCACTGGTGGAGTTTGGGAAAAATCGATCTTAATATTTGGGAGTTGTGGTTGCTGGGATTTATAGTTCACCTACAATCAAAGAGCATTCTGAACCCCACCAATGACAGAATTGGGCCAAACTTCCCACACAGAACCTCCGTGACTAATAGAAAATACGTGTTTTCTGATGGTCTTTGGCGACCCCTCTGATACCTCCTCTTGATCCCCTCCCAGAGGTCCCAACCCCCAGGTGGAAAAACACTGTTATAGTAAGTAGTATGCACACACTGCATAGTTTTACGAAAGGCCTTATTATATGGACCAACACAACCTTGGATTTGGTCTGTCTTTGACTCAGGAGCATTATGATCTTCCAACATGGAGACAATAAGATTCACTGATACATTACAGAAAAACAAGAATGAGTACTAACACATTTCTCATGACATTAGATCTCTGTCCAGTTAAAGATTAATCCCGATAGATTGCACAGGGGTTGCAAGAGGGGGACAAAGAGAAACAAAGGCTTTGTATCTATTCAAGAGCAAAGATTAATTCAGATCAAAGGTAAAGAGATATTACTAGTGACTAAGCCAGAGAGTTAAACCAAAAGGCATAACACTTACCTTGAAATACTATGCCTACAGATCCAATAATCTGGTCCTAAAAGCCCCCAGAGAAAAATTCAGAACAAGAACTGTTCTGAAGATCAAGGAAAAGAAAAATTGCAAGGTGGGCACCTCTAGCCCAATAAAATGCTGTGCATGACTGAGCTGAAGTTGAGAGCTAGACTGTAAAGATTAAAAGCCATTACACTAAAAGTTACTGCAAAATTGAACAGAGTAGGAAACTATTCTCACCTCACTTCATCTTCTGGCCCGCCATGTGTTTGATTTTCAGGGTTGAAGTGAGCACCAGCACTGGTACATCCTGTAACAGATTACGCAGAGTGAGTTTTTCCCTACATCATGTCCCCTGCAAATTAGTCAAAATTAACAATCGGGGTGTGGCTCTACATGTGGCTCAATTTAATAAAAACCTTATCTGATTATACAAGCCCAGACCTATTTACATTCTTAAACACTGCAAAATTAATGTGAAAAACTGCTTCCAATAAAGTGTATTGAGTATTCCTTTGTAGCTTTAGTATATTGTATTATTCATATCTTCTGGCAAAAGAAAATGCATCATTCCAAGTTTTGGGGGGGGGGGGGGATGAAAGTGTTACCATTTGTGTTGTCTCCAAATTCATGGACATGGAATCCATGCTTCCCTGGAGTCAATCCCTGAATTCGGCCTTCAAGGTGCACCGCTCCACCGCTCTAGAACAGAAAAATTGTACTTAAAAAAATCAAACAAATGCTAAGTCAGAATGCACACAAAACTGCAAATACTCTCCATAGAAATTAATTGTATTACTTTAATACTTCTGACAACACTGCATAGCCAGACCTTAGTCCAGCAAAAGGAACATAAACAAGAAATACTTAAAATACTACATGAAAGGGGGAAAGAAATCTGTTTCTGGGTCCTTCTGTCATATCTCGCCCCAAATATATGCGCCAGTGTATCTGCAGTCACTAGAGAAGTGTGACGTGGCCAATGACATGGGGCCGGGCTTTAGCACAGCAGTTTAAGCCACCTTGCAGTAAATCTTGTCAATCAAAAGGCTGCCAGTTCGAAGCCTGGGTCAGGGTAAGCTCCTGGCCTTTAGCCTAGCTTCTGCATATCTAGCAGTTCAAAAGCAAAATGTGAGTAGAAAAATTAGGTACCGCTTAAAGAAAGCAGGGAGGTATTCTGAAGCACCCATAAGGAATGCCGGCTATTCACTGAAAAAGGAGGAAGTTACAAACAAGCTATTTGGCAGGAAGATGGGGCAACAGCACCCCCCCCCCAAATGGCTGTAACTGAGCACAAAAAGCCTCCAAGATGCCGAAGTTGGGAACAGCTAATATATATATACCTCTATCAATCTAATAATTGTCTGTTTTGTTTGTGTATAAAACAGCTCTGAATGTTTGCCATTTATGTATCCGGTTCTGTGATCCGCCAAGTCTCCTTTGGGGTGAGAAGGGTGGAATAAAACTACTGTAAATAAATAAATAAATAAATACTCTGCACACATAACATTATCAGGATATACACTAACCATGTTATGATGTTTTCAGACATCACTCTCACTGCAAAGAATGCCGCCACGTTATGAAAACTATATGTACAAAGCCCAAGATTCTCAGTGGAAGAATATGCAGTTATCCTAACATGTATACGTTCACAAACCTCTTTCCTAGTATATGCTATGAATCTTAGGATGCGTCTACACTTCACAATTAATGTTTGTCACTACTTTACATACCCTGACTCAATGCTATGGTTATAAACAGGAGTTGTAGTTTGGTGGGGCATTGGCACTGTTTGGCAGAGAGCTAAACATGATGCAAAGCTACAGCTCACATGATTCTACAGCACTGAGTCCCTGAAGTTCTAGTCATACCAAATGGCATTAATTCTACAACAGTGGTTCTCAACCTGTCGGTCCCCAGATCTTTTGGCCTTCAACTCCCAGAAATCCTAACAGCTGGTAAACTGGCTGGGATTTCTGGGAGTTGTGTGCCAAAACACCTGGGGACTCACAGGTTGAGAACCGCTGGTATAGATGCATTCTAAGGTTGTTGTTTTTTCAAAGCAGAAAGCCAACATTCTTTACAAGTTTCAAAGAAATTTCTTCTCTTCTTCTTACCATGCTTATTGAAATTAACAGGTTTAAAATAAATGCACTAAAAATCATTTAACTAAGAAATACATTCAACAGAGAACTACCCTACTATACAGAAAAACCGAGGAATCCCTGAATTCATTTTCTACTATATACCCAAAAGTGATTCCGAAGTAATTTTAAAAACGAATACAGAAATGTGAATTTTCTAGTCACTGGCCATTGAGGATAATTCCAGTTCCATGCCATGCCCTCCAGAGGAAGTACACAACACTGTATAGACAGACTTCGGGGGCAGGCGGACAGTGGAGAGGTCAAACCGACAGATGCACTCCTGGCTTTGTTGTCTTCGTGCATAGCTATTTATTCCAATAATCTGTTATGCACAGAGGTTACACAAGGAACTCTGGTTCTAGGAATTGCAGTCAAAGTAACATTTCCATGCTCTGGTGATGCAAAGTAAGTAAAGAGTGATAAGACCTATGTTTTAATAAAGGCCTCCTGTTTACAATATAATATTTGTATTATGTTTTAAAATGTTTTAAATGCTTAATATGTATTATTTTTAATTTAATTTTAATGTTAATGTTACTGGAATTGTATGTGTTTTAAGGCATTGAATAATTGCCTTGAGTCCCCTTTGGAAGGGTATAAATAGGGCAAATAAATAAATAAATAAAACTTTTTTCTAGACTGCCCTCTCTCCACGAAGGGGCTCAGGGCGATTTACATACAAAAAACGCAAACATTCAATGCCTCAAATAAGTACCAACAGATCAAAAATAAATACAGAATAGTGCAAAATAACAGTAGCAAACTTATAATAAAAGAATTAAGCATTGAAATGAAAAGTAAAATATAAACAATTCAGTAAGACAGTGAATTAAAACATGAGTAAACATTAAAACATATACCCTAAACAACAATTAAAATACATTACATTAAATGGCTTGCCACTCTATGTGCTACATCAGTTTGTTATCCGGAATGACTACAGGATCTAGGTCAGTGGTTCTCAACCTGTAGGTCCCCAGGTGTTTTGGCCTACAACTCCCAGAAATCCGAGACAGTTTATCAGCTGTTAGGATTTCTGGGAGTTGAAGGCCAAAACATGGGGACCCACAGGTTGAAAACCACTGATCTAGGTAATGCATCAACGCTGCTTCATTATAATTAAAAATTTATAATGAATCAGCTTTGGTGAACCATAGTCAAAGTAACATTTCCATGTTCTGGTGATGCAAAATAAGCAAAGAGTGATAAGAAACATTTTAATAAAGATCTGCTTGCAACTCTAAACACTATACCAGCTTGTTATCCAGAATGACAATATCTAGGTAATGCAACAAAGCTGGTTTGTTATAATTAGGAATTCAAGGTTCATATCAAATAACCCTGTGGCAAAGTGTTTCAATACCCTTGAACTATCTGAAGGCCTACATCCACACCCAGCATGCTTAGATAACCTAATTATGCAAGAACATATTAGTGATGGTAAGACGGTATGCACTCACGTACAAAGCATGTATTGTGCAACAGTAGCAGAAAGCAGCGTGGATTAGAAACACTAAGCGAAGCAAAACCTCTACAGAAGACTCTCAGATCAAAAGGGAAAATCAATTACTGTAGTAAATGCACATTCCATGTATCGCTTCTAACATTCCATATCAGGGCAATATTCTTAGTTGTCTGCTGCAGGACCGGTTCTTCAGATGTTATTGGACTGCAATACCCATCATTCCAAGCTTGCAATAATGAGGAATGTAGGAATTCATATTGCATATACACCCAGAAGGCCACAAGTTGCTCACCTCAACAGAGGGAAATAAACGTAAAGGTTTCTCCTTGACATTAAGTCTAGTCATGTCCGACTCTGGAGTGTGGTGCTCATCTCCATTTCTAAGCTGAAGAGCCAGCGTTGTCTGTAGACACTTTCAAGGTCAGGTGGCCAGCATACTGCATGGAGTGCTGTTACCTTCCTGCCAAAGTGGTACCTACTGATCTACTCAGATTTGCATGTTTTCGAACTACTAGGTTGGCAGAAGCTGGGGCTAACAGTGGGAGCTCACCCTGCTCCCCAGATTTGAACCGCCGACCTTTCAGTCAGCAAGTTCAGCAGCTCAGCAGTTTAACACGCTGTGCCACATGAGGATCCTTCAACAGAGGTAGTGGACATCAATAAAAAAGACACTAAGGAGGGGGCAAGCTTGTTTGTGCTGTTCTGGAGATTAGGAAGCAGAGCAATGGATTCAAGCTGCTGTGGAGTCTCCTTCGCTTGAGGTTTTTAAGCAGAGGCTAGATGGCCACCTCTCAGGAGTGCTTTGATTGAGTTTTCTTAGCAGAATGAGGTTCAACTGGATGGCTTTGGAGCCTAACTCTAGTATGATTCTATGTAAGAAGAGCTTTTTACAATGCTTTTGAACTGTAAACAGTTCCTCTATGGAGGTTGAGAAGATTGGTATATAAAAGTTTTAAATAAATAAATGAGAGTATTTTTTTTAAAAAATCCTATTCTAACTCTTCAATCACTTCCATTTCAAGAACTGAATGTTTTCCTGGCTCATCAGTAGAAATCCAGAGATTATGAAATGTGTAAACATACTTTCCACTAGGTTCCATGAGGGTTTGAAAAAAGACAAGCAAACACAGCTTGTAAAACCTGTTTGTGAAGCTGATCAGAGTACAAGACTCTCGCTTTCCCCCCCTTCAACATGGGCTGGTTCCAATCCCGTGACTCAGCAAGAATTACTCCCTTTCTTTGGGGCAGGAAAAGAAGTGCTGTTTGGCAGAAGCACAAAATAAAAGAAACCATGCCCAGAACAACCTGAAATATCGTTGTGGCTCCAGGAGTGTGTAAAGCAAGGTGTCTCTTGCTTACAACCCTGTGGATAGGGAAATGAAAACCCGAAGGTAAAACGGCTGAAATGTATTTTTATTAACCCAGATGTTCTTTTTAGAGGGGAACCAAGCCATGTGGTTGCAAGAAAAGAGGGAACAGAAAAGAGAAATGTATTCTCCCCACAATATTAGCATTAACAGGGGAGGGTTTTTTTTTCAATCTAGATTTTGGGGGGACCATGTCTCTCAAACATCCTTATGACTCACTGACACATTTCTCAGCTCAGGCCTCATTTTTTCTGTAGGAATGCTAACATTAATTTTAATAGTCACTGTTACCTTTTGCCTAGTTTCAGCCATACTCTTATTAGACCATGGCTTCTTAAAACTTTTCCATTCACAACTCCATTCCGCCTGAGAAATTTTTACATATGTAGGTAGATCATTATAAAAATAAAACATTTACTGATAATAAATCAGCATTTACAAAGCGTACAAAACAGGCTGATTTTCCTTTTTGTGGATGCTGTGCATTTTTTTGCCATGTCCACTGTTTGCACCATTCGTTGCTAACAGATTGTGTAAATGAGTTGCAATCAGAAATCCTTTACTGTTACCAATTTTTATGACCCCCAACAATGAGCTAAAGGGACCCTTTGGGGACAGGACTCACAGTTTACAGCAAAGTGATCTAGACCAGTTTCTCATCAAACTATGCTCCTCCAGATGTTTTGGACTTCAACTCCCACAATTTCTAAAAGCTGGTACACTGGCTGGGATTTTTGGGAGCTGAAATCCAAAACACCTGGAGGGGCACAGTTTGAGAAACACTTATCTAGACTAAAAGTGCATGTCTTAATATCTAAATATAAGATGAGCATTCCTTATCGGGAAATCAGAAATACTCCAAAATGCAAAACTGTCCATACAGGTGGTTGAGACAGTGATATAGAATCCTAGAGTTATAGGGCCATCCAGTCCAACCTCATTCTGCCATGCATGCAAGAAAATACAATCAAGGCACTCCCATCGGGTGACCATGCAGCCACTCCTTAAAAACCTCCAGAGAAGGAGATATCCAAAGATGTATCTTCCACTGCCAACTATCTCTTACTAACCTTACTATCCTTCCTACTAATGTTTAAGTGGAAACTTTTTTCTGCACTTTGAATCTTTGCTTTCTGATGACTCAATGTACACAAACTTTGTTTAGTAAAGGTTAAGTCCAGTTGTGTCCGAGTCTGGGGGTTGGTGCTGATTTCCATTTCTAAGCCAAAGAGCCAGCGTTGTCTGTAGACACCTCCAAGGTCATGTGGCCGGCGTGGCTGCATGGAGGGCTGTTACCTCTCCTCCAACATGGTACCTATTGATGTACTCATGTTTGCATGTTTTCAAACTGCTAGGTTGGCAGAAGCTGGGGCTAACAGCGGGAGCTCACCCTGCTCCCCGGATTTGAACTGCGAACCTTTCAGTGAGCAATTTCAGAAGCTCAGCGCTTTAACCTGCTCCGCCACGGGGGCTCCAGGAAGATAGGCTTGGATACCACCTCAGAGATATCTCATTGTGCACATATATGCAAATAAAGGTCTGAAAAAAATCTGAAATATTTCTTGTCCCAGGCATTTTGGATCAGGGATACTCAACCTGTGTATCAAAAAGTCACGAGAGAGAAGCACATACCAAAAACCTGGCCTTCAGAAATACAAATGTGGCAATTATTCATTATTATTATTATTATTATTATTAGATGCATAACAAGATTAGTACAGAGTGAATAAGATCATTTGTATTCGATCACACGTCGGACACTTCCCAAGTGTCTAGGACTGTGTGATGTATTAGTGAATAATGTGTATGCTGATCTGAGAAGGGTGGCCTTTTGCAGCTGACAGATAGTAATCTTGTCAGCGCTGATTGTTTTTAAGTGCAGGCTAAGGTCTTTAGGCACTGCACCCTGCGTGCTGATCACAACTGGGACCACCTTTACTGGCTTGTGCCAGTCTTTACAGTTCGATCTTTAAATCCTCATGTATATTATTATTACTATAATATTATATTAATATCATGTATATCATTGTGAATATTGTGCGCGTGCACACACACACACACACACATATTGTATATTACATCTGGCACCACAAGATGCAGACACAATCTTAAGAAATGGGGTTACAAAGTGGAGTTCACGACATGTGAGTGGAGAAGAGCAAACCACAGACCACCTATTACAATGCAACCTGAGCCCTGCCACATGCACAGTGGAGGACTTTCTTATAGCAACACCAGAGGCACTCCAAGTGGCCAGCTACTGGTCAAAGGACATTTAGTAGAATGCCAAGTTTTTAAACATTGTGTTTTCTCAAATACATTAGTTCACTCCTGATACGATAAATATTAGATTATAATACTATATTCATATCATATATATTATTATTATCATGCATATTATAATTAATATTATGTATATTATAATATTATAGAATCAGAGTTGGAAGAGACCTCATGGGCCATCCAGTCCAACCCCCTGCCAAGAAGCAGGAAATTTGCATTCAAAACACCCCTGACAGATGGCCATCCAGCCTCTGTTTAAAAGCCTCCAAAGGAGGAGCCTCCACCACACTCCGGGGCAGAGAGTTCCACTGCTGAACAGCTCATATTAATATCATGTATATTATTATCATCATCTTGTATATTATATTAATATCATGCATATCATTATTAATATCAAGATCCCCTGGTGGCGCAGTGGGTTAAACCCATGTGCAGGCAGGACTGAAGACCGACAGGTCGCAGGTTTGAATCCGGGGAGAGTGCGAATGAGTTCCCTCTGTCAGCTCCAGCTCCTCATGGGGGGACATGAGAGAAGCCTCCCACAAGGATGGTAAAACATCAGAACATCTGGGCGCCCCCTGGGCAACGTCCTTGCAGACGGCCAATTCTCTCACGCCAGAAGCGACTTGCAGTTGCTCCTGATACGACCAAAAAAATTTATTTATTTTTCGCATTTCTATCCCGTCACTTCTCAACCCCCGAAGGGGGACTCAGAACGGCTTACAGTGGGCCCCGTAATGAGGCTATATTATTATATTATTATTAATAATTATATTAATATCATTTACATTATTATATTTATATACTGTAGTGAACAGTAGCACAACCAATACAATACAGTATACAATTTAAAGCCTATAATGGAATTAAAACTATAATTATCTGAAAATGACAAAACTCACAGCAACTATTTTAAAACACATCGCCTTTGATGCACCCTAACAGAGAGCCAGCGTTAAAGATACTGGGCTAGGGGGCCATCTACACTGTGGAATTAATGCAGATTGGCGCCAGGGCTGAATGCCAGGGGTTTTGGGGATTTGCAGTTTGGCAGAGAAGGCCAAAAACCTTGCAAGACTGCAGCTCCCGTGATGCCTTAGCGTGGAGCCATGGCAGTGACAGAGGGGCCTGCTTGCATGGCTGGATTCCCTCGCTCCCTCTCCTTCCCCAAACCCAGGCTTTCCATCCCTTTCCTTCCTGGCTGCTCCCTTCCCAGAAGTGCCTTGCCTGCTGCTCGAAGCGAACGACGCCGCAGACATTGCTCCCGGAGGCCGGGTCGGCCGTCAGCAAGCAGACCGCCTTCTGCACCGCCATATTGGTCGTCTGTCCAAAACCCTTCGCAGATAACATAGCTGCACCGCCCCTACTTGCACCACCGAGCACGGGCCCGCCTCCGCGCCCTTTTATACCCTACTACCCAATCGCCAGGCAGTGTGGCATTCTATCCCCGCCCTTCTCCAAGCCAGGCAGCCAACCGGCGGGCGAAACATTTCGACCTTAGCCAATCAGGAACGAGCGAAGGCGAAATGGTCTTTTCCCTCGCTCTGAAAGGAGGGCCCTGGTTAATCAGCTTGTCCTCATTGTGGCCAAAGGTGAGTGCCTGTAGGGTTGAGGCAGTTTTACACTGCTCAGTGTTATGAAACCCTGGGATTTGGAGCTGTAAGACTAGGAAAATTACACTTCTCAAAGACATTATAAAGCAGCACAAACTTTTGCCAAGCCCAGCAATACTATAAATCCCATCATTCCATGTTATTGAGGCATGGCAGTCGAACTGCATTAATTCTGCTGTGTAGATACACCTTCAGTCACACTAAAGGCTGTATTAATAATACTGTATAGATCAGGCAGGAGCAAAGTTTGGCCCTCCGGGTGTTTAGGACTCCAACTCCCACAATTCCCAACAGCATCGGGCCCTTTCCTTTCACCCCTTAGCCCTCCAGGTGTTTTGGACTCCAACCCCCACAATTCCCAACAGCATCAGGCCCTTTCCTTTCACCCCTTAGCCCTCCAGGTGTTTAGGACTCCAACTCCCACAATTCCTAACAGCCTCGGACCCTTTCCTTTCACCCCTTAGCCCTCCAGGTGTTTTGGACTCCAACCCCCACAATTCCCAACAGCCTCCGACCCTTTCCTTTCACCCCTCAACCCTCCAGGTGTTTTGGACTCCAACCCCCACAATTCCCAACAGCATCAGGCCCTTTCCTTTCACCCCTCAACCCTCCAGGTGTTTTGGACTCCAACTCCCACAATTCCCAACAGCCTTGGGCCCTTTCCTTTCACCCCTTGACCCTCCAGGTGTTTTGGACTCCAACTCCCACAATTCCTAACAGCCTCGGGCCCTTTCCTTTCACCCCTCAGCCGCTTAAGCGGCTGAGGGGTGAAAGGAAAGGGCCCGAGGCTGTTAGGAATTGTGGGAGTTGGAGTCCAAAACACCTGGAGAGCCAAAGTTTACTCGTGCCTGGTGTAGGTACACCTAAAGGCAAACCAGTTTCTTTATTTTATTTGTTAATGTCAGAAGCAAGTTCAGGGTACAGTTTAAATGCATTTAAAAACACCAACAAAGTTTTAAAAACTTGGCATTATGGTAAATGTCCTTTGACCAGAAGCTGGCCACTTGGAGTGCTTCTGGTGTCGCTATAAGAAGGTCCTCGCTTGTACATGTGGCAGGGCTCAAGGTTGCATTGTAATAATAATAATAATAATAATAATAATCTTCACATCCTTAACTGCTGCAAGAAGATCATGCAGACAGACTACAAGCAGAGGCATAACACCATTGCTCGGTTGATTCATTGGAACTTGTGCCACAAATACCATCTGTCTGCGACAAAGAACTGATGGGATCACAAGCCAGAAAAAGTTACAGAGAATGAACATGTCAAACTCCTCTGAGACTTCTGAATTCAGACAGACAAGAGTTTTGGAGCACAAAACTCCTGACCTCACGATTGTGTTAAAAAACAAGGTATGGATTGTCGATGTTACAATCCCGGCTGACAGCAGAATTGAAGAGAAACAACTGGAAAAGCTGACACAATATGAGAATTTAAAGATCGAACTGCAAAGACTCTGGCACAAGCCAGTAAAGGTGGTCCCAGTGGTGATCGGCACCATGGGTGCAGTGCCTAAAGACCTTAGCCTGCACTTAAACACAATTGGCGCTGACAAAATTACTATCTGCCAGCTGCAGAAGGCCACCTTACTGGGATCTGCACACATTATTTGCCGATACATCACACAGTCAGTCCTAGACACTTGGGAAGTGTCTGACGTGTGATCCAATACAACAGCCAGCAGAGTGTCTGCTGTGGACTCATCTTGTTGTGTTTCAAATAATAATAATAATGATCATCATCATCATCATCATAATCTTTATTTATACCCCGCCACCATTTCCGAGAGGGGGACTCAGAGAGACTACAATACAGCAAAATAAAATACATGATGCAAACAACAAAAAACAGCAAAATTACATCACAATAAAATACATACAATAGCAGAATATAGTAAACAAAGCAAAATAACATAATATAAAATTGAACATAATGGGCGGGCCACATGGACAAGGTAAAATAATAAAACCCTGGATGAGGTAGGAGTAGAAAAAGTGCATTTGAGAGGAGCCCGAAAGGATGGACAATGGGGTTAGGCTTTCGGTTCAGGACAGGAGAAAGTGCATCATAGGGGCAACTCTGTACGTGGAACAAACAGAAATGGGGTGAATGGTCACTCTCCAAAGGCACATCAGAAGAGCCAAGTTTTCAGATCTTTCTTAAAGGCTGCTAGGGTGGGGGCTTGCCTAATCTCACCAGGTAGTGAATTCCAAAGTCGGGGCCACCGCTGAGAAGGCTTTCTCCCTCGTTCCCACAAGTCATGCCTGTGAGAGAGGAAGGGGCAAGAGGAGGGCCTCCCCAGAGGATTGGAGGGATCGTACAGGTTGGTGGAGGGAGATGCGGTCACGAATTACTACAAAATTGTAGTAAGTGGTCTGTGGTTTGCTCTTCTCCACACCCGCATGTTGTGGACTCCACTTTGTAGCCCAATTTCTTAAGGTTGGCTCTGCATCTCGTGATGCCAGAGCACAGTTTGTTCAGTGCCTTCCAAGTCACCCAGTCTTCTGTGTGCCCAGGGGAAGAGTCTCTCATTTGGTGCCAGCCATTGATTAAGGTTCCAGATTTTAGCCTGCCACTTTTGGACTCTCGCTTGCTGAGCTGTTCCTGCGAGTATCTCTCTCGATCTTAGGAAGCTGTTTCTTGATTTAAGCCATTGGTTTGCTGGCTGATATCCAAACAGAGGATGGGCCGAAGATGTCAGTGCCTTGTTCCTTCCATTATTGGCTGCTACTTCCCTGCAGATATCAGGTGGTGCAATACCAGCTAAACAGTATAATTTCTCCAGCAGTGTTGGGCGTAGACAACCCGTGATTATGCAGTATGTTTCATTAAGAGCCACATCCTGTTTTAATGTAGTGAGATGTATTCCATACTGGGCATGCGTACTCAGCAGAAAAGTAGCAAAGCACAAGGGCAGATGTCTTCACTGTTTCTGGTTGTGATCCCCAGGTTGTGCCAGTCAGCTTTCGTACGATATTACTTCTAGCACCCACTTTTTGTTTGAAATTCAAGCAATGCCTCATAACTCAGTGCATGGTCCAGAGTGACTCACAAGCAGGGCTGTAGTGGGTGGGGGGGGGAGTCGGGGGGAGTTTAAGGGTTCTACCCCCCTCCAAAAGGGTTCAACACCCCCCCCCCCCCGGTAACCTGGTTTACTCATGAATTTTAAGTGGTTTACCAATTTATGAGTAAACCATGTTTCTTTTTTAACCTGACACATTTCAGGGCAAGGTTGAACTTTTAACCCCACCCCCACCCCACCCCCGGCTACAGCCCTGCTCCCAGGTATTTGGTTGTGCTGCAATGCTCCAGTGGGTTTCCTTCCCAGGCAATCCTCAGAGTTTGAGATGCTTGTCTGTTCTTAAGATGAAAAGCACATGTCTGTGTTTTAGATGGATTAGGAATCCACTGGTTTTCCCTGTTAATAGGCAGTAAGAGCACCTAAAGCTTCAAAGAGCTTCTGTTCAACCATTTCAAAGTTCTGCTTGAGCAGTGATGGCACGATTGTCAGCAAAGATGAAACCTCCTGTCCCTTCTGGCAGTGGCTGGTCATTTGTGGAAGTGCTAAAAAAGTGTGTAAAAGCCAGTTAGTAAGGGCAAATAATAACAAGGCAAGGGCCTCCCAGCTGCATTTTCCAAAGTTAAACTTCTTTTAAAAAAGCCAGTATTACTACAGATTTGAGTATCACTCGTTATGTATCTGCAAGAAATCCAAAATCTGAAATGCAGAGCACTTCTAGTGCTTGCCAACACATAATGCGATATCTTGGAGATGGGATGCAAATCTAAACATGAAATTTACTTATGTTTCATATCCACATAGCCTGAAGGTCATCTTATATATAATATTTTAAATAATTATGGGCATGGAACAAAGTTTGTTCACATCAGAAAGCAAAGATGTCAGCAATTCAGTTTTGAGTGTTAGAGTATTTCGTATTCCAGGCAACCTGTATTGCTTATTCCCAACTGGACAGTTCTACAATCTTTATTTCATCTCCTTGCTTCCATGTTAGAAAATCAATATCCCTTGCGTCATGTGTCAATTCACCTGCAACAACTGCAATTTTGTGAGTTTTCCGGGCTATATGGCCATGTTCCAGAAGCATTCTCTCCTGATGTTTCCCCCACATCTGTGGCAGGCATCCTCAGAAGTTGTGAGGTCTGTTGGAAACAAGGCAAGTGAGGTTTATGTATCTGTAGAATGTCCAGGGTGGGAGAAAGAACTCTGGTCTGCTCGAGGCAAGTATGAATGTTGCAATTGGCCACCTTGATTAGCATTTAATGGCCTTGTAGCTTCAAAACCTGGCTGATTTCTGCCTGAGGATCCTTTGTTGAGAGGTGTTAGCTGGCCCTGATAGAATTTTGTTTGGAATTCTCCTGTTTTTTGAGTGTTGCTTTTTGTTTACTGTCCTGATTTTAGTTTTTTAATACTGGTAGCCAGATTTTGTTCTCAAGTCATTTAAATTCATCAAGCATGTGGACAGTTTCAACAGAAAGGAGAACACCATGAAAATGAACAAAATCTGGATACCAATATTTAAAAACCCTCTAAAATCAGGACAATAAACAAAGAGCAACACTACAGCTCCAAATACATTAGAGATAAAACAATATTAAGTCTGATCCTTTCCCACCTTAATGGAGAACCAGATCCACAACAAATTGGACATGAAGGCCATAACTTTCTACTGTTGATTCCATTCACCAGGTAGATGGGTTGAGGCAGGCCCATAGCCAGGATTTTGATTGGGGGGGGGGGGCT